TTCATGGCTGAGATTGCTTGTCAAACAATTGCGCCGGCCCGTCCTAACATATGGAAGGCGGATATGCAGGCAATTAATTCCGCAGCATCGGCTGAGAACTGGGAAATTGACTCAAAGGCATCAGTACAAGAGGCATGGACTCTATTCAGGCAGTTATACAATCGGGTAACTCAACCATACATACCCTGGACTGTCCCAAAGAAAAAGAAGCACGGACATCCCTGGATAGGGCGGGATATTCGACGCTTACTAAGACAAAAGAAGAAATGCTGGGATGTTGCCATCCGCCTTGGCACAGCAGGTACGATGGAACGCTACAGATCGATAAGAAACGAGTGTATAACTAAAATTCGGGAAGCGCAAAGAAAATATGAAATGTAGCTGGCAGAATCTGCACTCAAGCAGCCCAAGAGGATATTCTCGTACATAAACTACAGAACAAGGATTCATCATTGGATTCCCAACCTAATTAAAGTAGGAAGTGAATCTGAAATGATAGAGGAAGATCAGGAAAAAGCTAAGGTTATGGCTGACTACTTTGGGGCAGTTTTCACTCAGGAACCTCCTCTAGAGAAAGAACCAGACCCAATTACAGAGTCAACAAACCAGCTGCTCACCGTGGACTTCGACCAAAACGATGTGTTTAAGGCTCTTAGCACCCTAAACATGGAGAAGTCAACAGGACCAGATGAACTACACCCTAAAATCTTGAGACATATTGCCCAATATATCGCAGCCCCACTGACTGTGATATTCAAAATGTCACTTGACCAAGGTGTGTTACCTATGGATTGGAAGGACGCAATCGTCACTCCCATACATAAAACAGGTCTACGACAAGTTCCATCAAATTACAGACCCGTAAGCCTCACCAGTGTTGTAATTAAAATAGTGGAAAGGATAATCAAACGGACCATAACAGCATTTATGGAAACCAATAACTTGCTGAACATGGCACAGCATGGTTTTAGAAAGGGTCTATCCTGTACAACGAACCTCCTTATAGCTAGGAAGCTCTGGATTAATGCGCTAGACAACGGAAACTCAGTGGATGTTTTCTACATAGACTTCAGTAAGGCTTTTGACAAGGTGCCAACTAATAGACTGCTATTGAAGTTGGCAAACCTTGGTATTGCCGGACCTCTTTTAAAATGGATTAAGGATTTCCTAGTAGGTCGTAGGCAAAAAGTAAGAATACATTCCAAGTGCTCCATCTGGAGACCATTACTTAGTGGAGTACCCCAAGGTTCCGTCTTAGGTCCTTTACTTTTTATAATGTACGTTAATGATCTTACAAGTATAGTACAGTCTCCAATGTTATTATACGCTGACGATGTAAAAATTTGGCGAGTAATAACTGGAGACAAAGACGCATTTACTCTTCAGGCGGACTTAAGTAATATGATAAACTGGTCTAAATAGTGGCTAATGCCTATCAACTCGGAAAAGTGTGTCTACATGCACTTGGGGGATTCAAAGGTTAATACGTACAACATAGGGGATGTGTCATTACCCGTAGTCCGGTCTCATAAGGACCTAGGGGTGACAGTGAGCAATGATCTTAAGACGACGGCCCATTGCCGGGAGGTCGCAGTTAAGGGGTTTCGAACCCTCTGGGCTTTAAAAAGGACATTCACTAAGCTTGATACTACCATGTTCACCACATTATACACATCCTTAGTGAGAACTAAGTTAGAGAACTGTGTTCAGGCTGCAAGCCCCTGTTTAAAAGGTGACTCAGACATACTAGAAAAGGTACAGAGGGCAGCTACGCGTGCGATTCCGGAACTCCGGGGTTTATCATATAAAGAGCGGCTTGAAAAATTGAACCTCTTTACTCTGTCCTATCGCAGACTAAGGGGAGATCTAATTATGATGTACAGAATACTGAGAAATGGTTTCGGACCTAACTTATTCGCTCTCTTTCTTCCCACTAGATCGGGACACCTCAGAGGACATAGCAGGCGAGTAGAAAAGCCAAGAACGAACAAAATACCCGTGGCATATAGGTTTTCACACCGAGCCATCAATACTTGGAACCAGCTGCCTAAAGCAGTGGTGTCCGCACCTTCAATTGACTCTTTCAAGAGAAGACTGGACACTCACAGAAGCATACTAGAAAAGGAATAACATAGGACGTAGGCCTTCTGTCCTTACTACACAAATCTGAAATCTGAATGCGATTCACTCATTGACCTCCAATTAGATTTACTATTTGGAATCATAGAATTCAAAGCAGCTCAGTGATAGGAATAATCTTATCTGATGTTACCAAATATCTGGCAGAGTACTCTGGCATCAATACGAGAGGACAAATAAATCGGCTGGCATATTGCACTGTCACAATTACATTAGATATTGGATACTAACCTTGAAAAAGGCAGTGTAACAAACGTGTACGTTACTTGAGTGTGTAGGTGTTCTTCGTTTCCTAGTAGATATTGTCACCAATGTCATTAAATTGGGGTGATAAGTCATATCCCCTTTAAATATATATAATTTTTTCATCGACCAGGGTCTCGTTCACTCTTAAACGCGATTTTACTAGATTCGGACTACGCAATATACATATAATATTATGTATAATCGATAAATTGACATTTGTTTTGACATTTAGAACAGTTTCAAACACATCTATTTGATTGATGGGCTGAAGGAATTGTAGACTTTGTTCCTGGTCGAGTCACTTGATATACGTAATATATATTATGTATATATAGTATTTTGACTCTGAAAATGTTAATTTAACGCAAAAAACCCTATTATTTGACCTACTAGAACGTATTTAATTTATTTACAACTATATAATCATTTTTCCGAATAGATATAAAGTGGCTCACTGATGTCGTTCGCCCAAACTATGTAAGATCCTCACACAATAAGCTTCAGTTATGTAACGAATTGTGTTCCACATGTTTCGTAGTATACTAAACCTTTTTATTTGGTTAAAGCAGATAAGTTCTTTGAACTTAGTAGCACCAGGATATGCGTTGAAATGTTCCGAGGTTAGACGTAGGATACTACAGGCTCAATTTGGTTAAAGGCTGTGAATGTTCACCTATTGAGATAGTCGAGACATGGGTTTCTCATTTTTAACCACCATCTACTTCACCAAACAATCTTGGCTAGAGTAGATGTTGGTTAGTATAGTTGGTGAAACTATAATTTATGGACGGCCTTTGAGCGACGCTAGACTGATCTTGAGGGTGTCCACTTAATAACTAGGACCAAATGTAAAGAAATTATAATTATGATTTGCAGTTGATAGCCGAGGCTAAGAATTAGATCTTGAGTTTTCGCGAACTGACAGCTATAATGACAAAACTGTTTGAGCAAATGGACGGGTGAATTTCGCGCCAAAATCCAAGACCTGTTACCTTATGCGTGATTGGTTCGTCCATGAATTATAGTCTCGTCCCCAGATTACATAGTTGGTGTCCGCGTGATGACCGTGATCAGTGGTTGGTGTTGGACGATATAAATTAAGGTCAATCACAGCTTTACAACTCTAATCACTGCTTATCTTCCTTAAATCCCTTTTCAGACCATATTCGTCAGTGTTTAGTCGTTCTCTATAATTACTACTGTCATTTCAATCCCCTACTATTTACGGCATTGGTGATTCGATATGCTTACTTGGGCTGACATTGAGTGATGTTCATCAGCACTGCCTGGTATCAATGTTTTTTGTGAAATTTTGTCAAAGACTAACCTTTATAGATAAGATTGTTCGTTTAATGTCTCAAGCATTTATTCTCTAATAAGTCCTATTATTGACTTAAAATATGAAGATGGGATGGTGTAAACGCTTACAAAGTGGAAATTCATTTGAATGTTTTGATTAACAAGGTAGAAGTGTTTGAGATGACTTTTTCATCTATAAACGCGAAATATTGATTTATTATTGGTCAGTGCCTAGTCTGAGTGTAGTGAGTTCAGTAGTATGCTGAACTGACGACTTCGATTATTTTGGTATACTTGTTAGTTGGTGGCCAATGGAATCGCTGCACAAGGATAAAAAGCTTGCTCGGCTTTTGCAAACCTGCAACACTTTCCGCAGGTGAAATTCCAGCCTGCTAATCAAGCTGGTCGACGGACTGTGCCCCACGAGGAGTAACAGGCGTATGTGATCAAGCTGTGAGTGTAACCGTTTCCTATGAAAGTAGCTGATATGCATAGGATGCATATGCTTGATGACATATGATTGGATAGTTTCTTCCATATAGTAAAACCGAAGTTAGAAATATTTACATGTTACTTCTAACCTCATCGTAAATTCCAGTTGTAAAAACATCTAGATTAGGGCGCTCCAATAGTCATTGATTGTTGATATGAGCCGTGTCAGTAAGTGCAAACGTTTTGTTCGGGGTCTTTTTAGCAGTTGTAATTTGTGACTGAAAATGTTCCTTGATATAGCACATTATCGATCTTATATCTGTTCTCTTCCTCTAAATCACATATTTTCTTTCGAGGCACATTTCTCATATTTAGGTCCCTATAAAAATTGGTATTATTTTGCATCCTTTACCCCTCCTATTATTAATTTTCTATCTTTATGATGTAATGTGAGGTTTAGCAACGCAATATATGTAATCGTCGATGTGACATACTGATATCCTAAGTTGGTACCTGTTTATTAGTAGTTCCATGCTTTAAAATGTAGTTTACTAGTTTATGTACTCTACTTTTAATCTTTATTCTAACAGTACTCTATCTGCTACTTTTTCCACAAACATCTAGATGGCGTTATGAGCACCCCATACAATAAATAAGCGTAACTTAATAACACAGCGCTGTATATTCCTATTTGCTTTTTAATTTCATATTTTCTAAATTTAGTCCAGTATATATTTATCGAAGTGAAGTCATAAGTATGCAGATGTAACCGGCTATCTTATTTTTTTTTCCAATTCGTATCCTATGCCAAAAAATGTTATTCTTATTTTAGACTTTATGTATGGTGGTAAAGCAGAAGTTCAAATTACATTATCATTCTCGTAATGATTCACGAGGTTTCGTTACTGGTCAGTGTATCAATTCTTTTTATTAAGTATGGTGTTCTTTGTCCAGAAGATGTAATAATTAGCTCAAGAGGAGGCCATAATATTAATATTGGAGATGTTATTGAAGTTTATCATCCTGAAGATGCACATCATGCTCTTTTCTTGGTTACAACTCTCAGTGATGATTTACAAAATCGTGGTAATGCTAAGTGCTACTTTTTTTTACAATCAATCGTTTATATTTATTATTTATTCTTAGATGTCATTAGTGTAGAACAAAGTCTTGCACATACATTTAAATTGCAACAACATAAAAATGTGATTGTAAATGTGATGAATAAAGAAGTTAGTTTCTCCAATTTTCATAGTTTCCATAATTTTTTTGTAATAGACTATTTCATTGGATTTAGTTGAATTATACTTTCGAGATCAATACTTCAGTCGTAGAGATTTCTGCAATATTACACAGAAATTAGTAATTATTTAGTCCTATTTTGAAATCCATTTCCTTTTCTACATAGATTGGTACTGTTGTACATGTGAATAAAAAGCTCACTTGTAATGAAACAAGGTATTTACTTGTGTTTATATATATATATATATATGTATGAATAATCTTACCATCATATAGAACACAGGTTGGTGATTTATGGCGCCTTGGTGAAAGATATTCTTGTGGATATATAGATTCAAAAACTAAAGTTTGTCAATGATTATTTACAAATATGAATAAAATTAAAAGATTATTTTTCGTTCTTCCACAGCAGTTATACACATTTTCATACAAATGAGTCAAGAAATGTGGTGGTTCGATAATAATGGTGATCTTTACCTAGAGAAAGCTTTCAAATTTTTGTCAAAATTGTTTTTAAAATTTTGGCCTGTTAGTTTTATTTTTCAAAACATATTATTCAATTTTTTTTAGGAAAATAATTGTAATCATGATACAACTGTTGTATTCTTTACGCGTATCTATATTGATGGTAAGTTGAGTGTAATTTGGTCTCCACTTTTTTTAAAAAAGATTTTCATTAGTATTAACTGACATGGCTCAAAATCGTTTGCAATGGCGCAGTTGCATCCACTCTTTGTGTTCTCCCAAATTCTAATCTTCTGAATTCTTCATGTCCCTTATTTTCTTTCCAAGTTTATTTCACTGGATTATACTCCTTGAATAACATCTTCAAACCCTAGTGTTTCCGATTACTGCTTATACACTTACTACCTATACCACTACAGAATTTGAGTCGACAACTGCATTTCCATGCTAATGTGGTGTGGCAACTCGAACTGATGTACGTACGTACGTACGTACGAAGTTCTACGTCGTTACTGACTGACTGAGTATTAACTGAAATTCTACTATATTCTTTTAATTTGTTGTTTTTAGCGTATTATAATTAGTTGTATTTATAGTTGGTAATGAGGTTCTTGTACGTATGCATATATTGTTTAATAGTTGTATGAGGTGTTCATAACGCCATCTAGATGTTTGTGGAAAAGGTAGCAGACAGAGTTACTTACTTACTTACTTACGCCTGTTACTCCTCGTGAAGGAGCATAGGCCGCTCACCAGGGTTCTCCATCCAACCCTGTCCTGGGCAATCCTTTCTAGCTCCGTCCAGTTGTAATTCATCGTTTTCATATCTGCTTCTATTATCCGACGCAATGTGTTCTTTGGCCTTCCTCTTTTTCGCTTCCCTTCAGGATTCCAAGTTAGGGCTTGCCTCGTGATGCAGTTTGACGATTTGCGTAATGTATGTCCTATCCATTTCCATCGTCTTTTCCTAATTTCTTCTTCAGCTGGAAGTTGGTATGTTCTCTCCCACAGAAGGCTGTTGCTGATGGTATCCGGCCAATGGATGTTGAGTATCTTGCGAAGACAGCTATTTATAAATACTTGTACTTTCTTGATTGTGGTTGTTGTAGTTCTCCAAGTTTCAGCTCCATACAGTAGAACTGCCTTGACGTTCGTATTGAAGATTCTCACTTTGATATTGGTTGAAAGTTGCTTTGAGTTCCATATGTTCTTCAATTGTAGGAATGCGACCCTTGCTTTGCCGATCCTCGCCTTTACGTCTGCATCTGAGCCTCCTTGTTCATCGATTATGCTTCCCAGATATGTAAAGGATTCTACATCTTCCAGAGTTTCGCCATCAAGAGTGATTGGATTGCTGTTTTCCGCTTTGAATTTGAGGACCTTAGTTTTCCCTTTGTGTATGCTGAGGCCTACTGATGCAGAGACTGCTGCTACACTGGCTGTCTTCATCTGCATCTGTTCGTGTGTACGTGATAGGAGGGCTAGGTCATCTGCGAAGTCCAAATCGTCTAATTGATTCTGAGCTGTCCATTGTGTTCCGTGTTTTCCTTCAGATGTTGAGGTCTTCATAATCCAGTCGACCACCAGAAGAAAGAGGAAGGGAGAGAGTAAACAGCCTTGTCTGACTCCGGTCCTTACTTGGAATGCATCTGTCAGCTGTCCTCCATGCACTACTTTGCACTGTAGTCCGTCGTATGAGTTCCGGATAATATTGACAATCTTCTGAGGAATTCCGTAGTGTCGAAGAAGTTTCCATAACGTCCTCCTGTCTACACTGTCGAATGCCTTTTCATAATCAATGAAGTTGATGTATAGTGATGAGTTCCACTCAACTGATTGTTCGACGATGATCCGTAGTGTTGCAATTTGGTCTGTGCACGACCGATCCTTACGGAATCCAGCTTGTTGATCTCGAAGTTGGGCGTCTACTGCATCCTTCATCCGGTTCAGCAACAATCTGTTGAAGACTTTCCCTGGTATTGACAGTTGTGTTATGCCTCTGTAGTTTTCACATTTGCTCAGATCTCCTGTCTTTGGAATCTTGACGAGGTGTCCTTCTTTCCAGTCCATCGGCACTTGTTCCTCCTCCCAAATCTTTTTGAATAGAAGATAAAGCATGCTTGTGGTTGTTTCGATGTCTGATTTCAGTGCTTCAGCTGGTATGTTGTCGGGTCCTGCTGCTTTCCCGTTCTTGATTTGTCTGACGGCCATTCTAACTTCTTCCGTAGTTGGTGGATTGACATCTATAAGAAGATCTATGTGTGCTGCTTCGATGTCCGGTGGATTCATTGGAGCCGGCCTATTCAGGAGTTCCTCAAAGTATTCTACCCATCTGTTACGTTGTTGTTGAATTTCGGTGGTTGGCTTGCCTTCTTTGTCTTTGACCGGCCTCTCTGGTTTACTGTATTTCCCTGATAGTTTCTTCGTTGTATCGTAAAGCTGTTTCATATTTCCTTCTCTAGCAGCTTTTTCTGCCGTCGTTGCTAGTTCTTCCACGTATTTCTTCTTGTCGGCTCTAATGCTCCTCTTCACTTGTTTGTTTGCTTCTATGTATTCAGCATGTGCTTGGACTTTCTCTGCTCGTGTTTGGCTGTTGTTTATTGCTGCCTTCTTGTTCTTCCTTTCTTTGATCTTGTTCAGTGTTTCTGTAGAGATCCATTCCTTATGATGGTATTTCTTTAGACCGAGAACCTCTTGACACGTTGAAGTTAATGCTTCCTTGATGCCTTTCCAGTTGTCCTCCATAGTAGTTTCTTCTTCTTTCAGTAGATCTTGTAAGGCTTGGAACCTGTTGTTGAGAGCTATCTTGAATTCATTGAGTTTGTCAGTATCTCGAAGGAAGGCTGTATTGAACCTTTGTATTGCTGTTTGTCCACTTGTCCAGTTCTTTTTTAGCTTCAGTTTCAAATTGGCTACAACTAGGTGGTGATCTGAAGCTACGTCAGCACCTCTTCTGGTTCTCACATCTTCCATTGTCCTTCGGAATTTTTTGTTGATGCAAATATGATCTATTTGGTTCTCTGTAGTGTGGTCCGGTGAGATCCATGTAGCCTTGTGTATACGCTTGTGTGGAAATATTGTGCCTCCTATGACCAATTTGTTGAATGCACATAAATTTGCAAATCTTTCTCCATTTTCGTTTCTTTCTCCCAGTCCATGTCGTCCCATAATATCTTCATATCCAGTGTTGTCTATTCTGACTTTGGCATTTAGATCTCCCATTAGAATGGTGAGGTCCTTTCTTGGGCATTTCTCTATCACTGACTGCAGCCGCTCGTAGAATTGATCTTTAATGTCGTCGTTGCTATCATTGGTGGGTGCATAACATTGGATAATATTCATTAAGGTCCCCTTCTTCTTTGTTTTGAATGATGCTTTGATGATCCTGGATCCGTGAGATTCCCATCCTACAAGTGCATTTCGTGCTACTTTGGACAGCATAAGACCGACTCCCTGAGTGTGTGGAGCATTGTCCTCTTCGTGACCGGAGTATAGCAGCATCTCTCCCGTAGCTAGCCTTTTCTGTCCAGCTTGGGTCCAGTGGGTTTCGCTGATTCCCAGTACTGCTAAGTTGTATCTCCTCATTTCCATTGATATTTGACTGGTCTTCCCGGTTTCCCACATTGTTCGAACGTTCCATGTACCTATAAAAATTTTTGCTCTGGTTGTTAGAAGGGGCATCGGCCTCGTGGCTTCCGAAGGAACTCGGCTTTCACCATGAAGTGTCATAATTCTTCTAAATGAAGACCTAACTCCCAGGGCAGAGTTAAAATGGTTTGGATTATTTTTTCTGGTAAGCGTTTTTTTAGCGAGTTAGTTTTCTACGGGATGGGGACGCTAACCCCATGCCCAACCCTCCTCCTTTACCCGGGCTTGGGACCGGCAGCAACCCTATAAGAGCTACAGGCGGAGTTAGCAGACAGAGTACTGTTAGAATAAAGATTAAAAGTAGAGTACGTAAACTAGTAAGCTACATTTTAAAGCATAGAACTATTAATAAACAGGTACCAATTTAGGATATCAGTATGTACGTTCGTCTCTATCTAGGGACCTTAATGCACCTTTTTCAGACGTCACGAATTAAGACACCATTTTTCAATGTGTTTACTGGTTTTCAGTTTTTTTACAACTGATCTCTGCTCGCGGCAAAAATTTAGACAAATATTTTTATTGAATACACGTAAAGTCTTGCTAAGTCAGGTACCAAAAATAGAACGTACCGCGCAAATACGGAGGTAAGATTTTGGAGAAATGATGGAGGAAAAGTAACAATCAAACAATTGAGCAAGAATAATTTACATTAGCAGATGCAATTTATTTAAAATACAATCAAGAAAGACTTTCAGTTGAGGGATTTCATCTCGTTTATATAAAAGAATATGGGAAAAACTACATCAGAATCGCTACTGGCTTCTGTTTTGAGCCATTTCTGTTAACATCTCAAGCCATTGAGTTGCACCATCTCCATAATCCCAACCAAACAGTCGTGATGTATTTGCAGCTACCAGTCTTACATAACTTTAATACCACAGTGCCATGTAATAAAGTGACCACTTCTTCACACTTTTCTCGCCCAGTCCCATCGTTTATGCTTACTACAAGATGTGAAAGCTTCTGGGCTAACATTCGTAAACTATATCCAAACCATTAAACTTGATATTTCAAAATGGTAATATTAATCGATTTATACATATATTACATTGTTATAAGTATGTAGTGCATTCCACTGGTTATCCATAATTCTTAAGTATTTTATTTTTTTCTAGATGTACCTTCTGAATACTCTCAGTCGTTTAAACAAGATGCCTTAAGTAGATATTATGAAGATTTTTACAGGTAATGCATTAATTTGATTTTGATGTGTTTTTTTTTCTATTCATCTCGGTGTTTGCTATGACTGTTGTTAAATAATTTGTAAATCTTTATTCTTATATGTATTGGGCATTACTACTTTTTTATGGCATATTGAGGAACCAGAGTATCTTTTTTAATCGTGGTAATAGATAAATAATGAGGTATGGCAACTTGGACCAATGCGCATATATGTACCCGGTCCTACGTTGTAGCTGACTGACTGACTGAATATATAAATGAATCGTTCACAAAGGCAATATGATAATTAGTAGAGTTTAAAAAATGTTGATTTCAAACAAATGGTCATTTTTATGACGTTTTTTTCCCATGAAGTGTTGTTCACTATTCAACTGATTGATAGTTCCGTTAAGTTTTAACACCTATTTTTAAATTTCACTGCTGTTAGTTCGATTTTGGCTGGAAACTATTTACACTAGAGTAGAATTACATTCATTTTCTTCTCTCTTTAAAACCTGAGTTGTGAAGTCACTTTCTATCTTTTTATTTTCTTTTTCTACCCGTAATCTTTTCTACCACTGCTACCAATGATACCATTCATACTATTTATCATTTTTACTACTGTGGGATTTGTCATGACAACTTTATCTCACTTTGCTTATGTAATATGGCAAATTAAACCGATCCACATGTGTCGAATTCTACATTACGTATAACTGACTGATAAAGTTCCATTTAGCCAATCTAATAGTACCATTACGCCTCACACAAACAGTTTAGCTCAAATGTGTGATTGGCAAGTAAGTTATATAGTAACATCAGCAGTATACATCATTCATAGACAGATAAATTTCAAAACAAAGAAAACTATGAAACATGTATAACCTAGTTCTGCTAAGCTAATATTATGTAACACAGACCTGATTTATTGACTTGGTTTTGTAGTGTAACAACTCAACAGAAACATGCCATAAATCCTATGAATATAGAAATTATGCACTGATTTAATTGATTCAACTTAAAATAATATGAGAGTTGCATCGATTGAGTTGATCCGTAGTCTACGATAACACATGGTACATGTATGCACTGGAAAATTTGATTATATAATATTTCACTAAAAATTGATGTCACATTAAAAATTCTCACTATGGTTATGAACAATGCATCTTTAACGAACTACATTAAAAATGATAAAAGTATCGTGGATATACTATGTCAAGTAGAAAATTTGTTGAAATTCTCAGTCGTCTTGACAACTGTATATTTTGAAATGTCAAATAAGTAGTCCCGTTTATAAATCGAACATAGATTCATTTAGTATGCTTTAAACCTTATGTATTGTTGAAACCTACTTTGATGCTTTGAGATTAAAATCTATTATAATGCCAGTCATAATAGTTGGGGAGACCCTGAGTGTTCCTCCGAAAAAAGCCTAGAGGGGCTCTGAAAACACTGGGAAACATTTTATCCAATCAACACTGAATAGAAGTTCCTCAGAAACATCTAGAAAGTGAATAGCCATGCGTCACATTTCTAATTGGATGATTACCTGTCTTGCTGCTATGCTTAGTAGGGTTCCAGATTCTTCTAAAAGCTCAAGGCCATTCGAAATGTTATAAATACCCTCAATTTTCTGTACATAAAATTAACTTTATGGTAGAGTATTCCTTCTACATTTTGCGTCTTTCCTCTTATGTTCAAGTTGTGTAGATTTAGTCCGGGGTTATTAAAAGAGCTTAAGAAACCAATTTAATCGTTCAGTCAGAAGATTTATCAATAATCAACTTAGGACGTGACAATTATTTATCCCGCCAAACTCCCACGCCATACCAAAAAAGTGAGATGAAAGTAATGAGATCAGTGGCAAGGGAGTTTGAAAACGAGTAGCAGTTTTATGGTCTACTAATCTAATTAAGTCATAATACACATTTAACGCTTACCCAAGCAGTTCTTCATAGTGAAAAGATTAAGGCCTGTTTGACCTTAGAGTTTCATGTAATCTGTCTAAAATCACCTGGTCTATTGGCTCTGCATCTTAAAAGGTTATCATCTTTGTATTTTCATTTACTACTTGGCGTATGGCATATCAAGTATCATAAATAGTAGAAAGGAAGAAACCTGGAGAATATAAAGACTTAAATAAAATTGTGTAATTGTCATAATAAAATCTAACATCTGACTGTGTGATTAACAGATTAGACAGTTAATAACTCAGTCACTTCACTCAATTGGGCTTATACATATTAATGGTGTCATTAACCCTTAAACAAAAGCAATGTAACTCCAGAGCTCAAACCGGTCAGCCATAACTAACATGAAACCTGGCATTTATGCGTTTCGGCTCGAGCTACCGCATTGTATCAACACAACGAGGTAAATTTATCAGGGCGAATGCTAACCACAGAAATAGATGTATTAACATAATCAGTGGTAGTGTAGTGAATGAAAACACAAGTGGAGGCAATCGAATGTATTTGAATACAAAATTACAGAACATCTTAGTAAAATCTGACAACCATACAGTAAATACTTCATTTGCAAAATATCAATCAATTGTCTCAAACTTGACTGTTCCTTCTGCAAATATCAATCAATCGTCTCAGACTTCATTGTTATTTCGTTTTCACACCAATCATTCTCTGTTTTTGTTCTCTTTTCTTTAAACTTCTTAACCTTCTGCCTCCAGGCATTTGACTTTCGATTAGCGATTCATACTACTTACGTCTGTCGTCATTAGTAGCACACACCACAGTAATATTAAACATTAGGAATAAACAATATAACTCAAGAAAGAATAAAGTTCGTGGGATAAACGTATTAGATAGTTTTAAAACTCTATATATAAAGAAACAAAAAGTGAGTGTATTGTCACTGGTATGATCGTTTATGAGCTATGCTACTCAACCTCCCAAACCATTGGTTACGATAATCGCGTGAACACTACAAAGTAATGTTCATCTACGTACACGGCGTAGTTGCACAGTGAATAAATTCATGAACTAATGCCAAGTCTTCGTTTAGCCACTCCTATCTTTCTTCGGACCTATTCCTACATCAACAGACATCGCACCTCGACATAGACTGTTGTTAAACATACACAATATATATATCCCAACCGCCACATTTAATGAAAATTCACTATCCCATCAATCGATTTGCAAATTTAAAGTACTTTTCTATTCTTGAATATCAAGTTACTTGATGAAAAGCATAAGTTGATTTGGCAGTTTGACAATTTCTGTTTTCTATATTTCATTGATTGTGTATCATTTATTCGTGTTAAAACATGTCACTGTCTATATTTGATGATTATTGTTTTACTATCAAGAGTGATTATACAAAATGAACGTTTCACAACAGATGATTGGAAACGAGAACTTGGTCGAATGCAATATGAAATACTTCAATTTGAAAATAATATTTATTCTTATTTACGCAATACTTATCCATTAATTAATAAGAACTCAAATAAAACAAAATTAAATATATGTACAGCTATGGATGCTAATCTCTTGGAAGTATTGAATATGGCTATCAATCGTAGGTTTCCTGTTGTTAATATGATAGATATATATCTTTAGTGGTAATTGTTATTCTCTTATTGATTATGTGTATACTCATATATTTTTATGTATAAGGGCTAATGGTACTATCTAGAGCTGGTTACTAACACTAAAGTATATAATACTGATTATCTTAAGTAGTGTATTAGCCCATAAACAAGCCCTGCTTAATTATAAAACAATTAACAATGAAAAACAATAACATTACACTGGAATTTTTTTTATTTATTTCAACACATAAATATTGGTACAAGAGGGCACCAAATATATATGCGCCACACCATATTTGTGGGCTGTGGTACTGCCCGGGTGCCCAGACCGAAGCAGGTGGTTATCTTAGGGGGTCACACCCGGAGCTTTCGATTAAAGGTCTGATCCACAAGGCAGTGGCGCATCGTGAGGAGATGAAGTCCCATGGTAGCCGGTGATCAACGACTGGTTCATACGCCATTTGTTCCTTTAGGATACTGGAGCCCATGTGCACCATTGGTTTAGGATACGGTTAAAGCGCCGGACATTCTCTTTTCGTCCTCTCAATTTCGTAAACAACACCTTCGCCACGAGAGGGCAGTGAATAGGACTTCCCTGGCAGAGGCTGTGTACGTGTGGCAGTGTGAGAGCATTTCGAGAGGGAGAGTTGACTCTCCCCACTCTCGGTCATACCAGTGCATTTGATATAATTAATTTACCCTTACATGTTGAATTATTCGCTATAGTAAAAAAATGATCATGTTGTGTTATCAGTTAATGTTATCGCACCATAGAGTTTTTATCACGAACTGACATCAGCTTTAGTAACAATGAATCATTGATAGCCTTTTGTGTATGTGCTTAAGAAAGTTAAGGATGAGATTAAGAGTTAGGAATCAGTGTAGGATAATTTTATCCAACCATACAAACACTACTAACATTCCATCTAATCACAACAAATACTCTAACATACAATCTGTATCAGAAGGTGTTTCTTGGAATGTGGATTAAATATCATGTTATATTCATCGTTTGGTTGCATACTAAACATCAAACCAAATATTGCCAAATTTCACTTAGTTTCTAATAACATACAAGCTATCCTTCGATATGCTTTCAATACCGTGCAAAAGTATGTTAGGTGTCATCTTAGTTTTAATTGGTTGGCTTAAAGGTGTCAGTATAGTCTAATTTTACCGTAGATACAATGGGGGTGTGAACTTATATGATTAATAACTGACCATAGAGTTCTCTATGACCATTACACCCTATCACTCTTCTTTTCCTTCATAGCCCAGTCAATGAATTTCTCTTAATGAGTTCATTTTCAAAGCTGTACAGTCATTGTTACATACCTTTCTTAAACTATAAGTCTAAAATCAATTTTTATGTTTGTCAGCATATGAATATTGTGAAGTGTGGTCGTTGAAATGGACTACATAGTTTTAAGTACATAGTTACCGCAGGGGAAATTTATGAAATAATAATAAGTCATTAGAATTTGGAGTGATCAGGATAATTGCACGTTCGTGTGCGATTGACTTTGTGTTTATATATAGTTAGCACAACTAATAAAGTTCAACAAAGCTACATTTGGTTGTTTGAGCGAAATCCGAAACGTAATGACTGCTAGCTTTTCTACCTTCTGTAAAGCTTGGCGGAATTTTCCATTATTCATTTCTTAAGATGCTTAAACATGTATTTTATTCAACCGAACATTGGATACAACGCGTTGTGAAACGTTGGTTACAAGGAAGACTAACTATTTCTGATGTGGTTCTATCAGAAGGTAATATAAAAGCTCTCGTAGAAGAATGCTCTATAGCCTGGAAAGTGAGTTTTTACATTGAAGATCTTTTAATCCCACAGAGAATAAACCAGTTCCTAACCTGTAAAACTTCATAAGCTCTATTATAAGTAAATACTGTTTTATAATTAGATAGAAAGTCATTTGAAGTATACTTAGGCCAAAAAACCGTATCAAACAAATACTTTGCCCCATTCTGTTTATACCATATATACTTCATTGGTCTAGTTATTTCAAGTAACTTTTCGATCTACTAATAAGTAGTCTAACATAATTTATTAAAACAAAATAGACATTTCTGTGGCGTAATTATAAATTCTTGCCATATGAAATTGACGTTGTTAATTTTTACACTGATACCTTGAAACGTATGTTACATTAAAGTAAAGAAAACTGTCTTTATGACATTTGATTGGACAGATAAAGAATCGAATCTTAGAAAGCCAGGTAAATCTCACATCTTGTTGAATAATGTAGTGTTCTAACGTATCTATACTACTGACAAACAATATTGTGACTAACGTCCTGGTATAAGATTCCTCTGCAATGCACATTCACGATCGCAAACACTCAACCTCTAGACCGCTAAACCGTCTTCCAACGGTACTAATGTTTAACTTCAACCAATGCACGAAATAGCGCGACCATCTTCAATTGCTTGGGGTAGATGCCTTTCTCTACTTGACACGAATTAACTCCACTGGTCATGACTTCATTCATTTATTGAATAGAACAATATTCGATCAAGTTTTTCGTCCCTTTTGTCAACAAAAATGTGCCTCTTTTTTTACAATATTAATCACGTAATTAAAATATTATTATTATTTTATTATATATAGTTTATTCGGGATATAATATTGATCGAAATTTTGATCGTACTGGTAAACTCCTATTTGTAATTACACCAGGTTCTGGTGTCTATCATGTCAATGAAAATCTTTTATTGTTAACAAAAAAACGAGTTCTTGATTTAGGTGAGTAGAAAATTACTTAGTAAACAAATAATGAAATTATTGCATTGTATTATTTTCATTAGTTATTAGCGAATAAAATCATATTTAGTTTGACGTGAAGTGTTGATAGAGATCGATTAGTTTAACTGTCGTTACAATTTTTGTTTATAGAAAATATTTTTATGTATCTACATTTTTCCCCACCACCAACCCCCTCCCGTAGTTCTCTTGCCTACCAGAATTTTGACTTGATTAACTCCTAGGTTGAACTAGGGTTATTTGTTTTTCCAACTGGTTTGATTGTCAAGTTCGTCTCTAAAAGTGAATTCGTTATCATTGTCTAGATTTACATCAATTTAATATGTATTAGTGTACGTCTTATACATACCTCTCAACCGTTGTTACTTACTTACGTACACGTGCTACCCCTCGTGGAGCATAGGCCGTCTACCAATGTTCTCAATGCCTAATTCTGTCTTAGCATATAAGTAGGCTAAAAAAATTAAGAGTAGCTAAATCAAGACGTGGAATTAATCCATGATGTTATTGATTACTGATCTGAGCCACGTTGATTGACATACAATAATCGATACGCGATAATCATAATTAATGGTGGGAGACACTGAATAACATAACTCCTATCAAATGTTATCATTTTTCTATCCACTTACTTATTCGGAGCCTTTACGTTATCTTATACTTTCTGTTCCTTTGTTTCATTTCTGTGTTAACCACTTACTTAATATTTAGTTACTTTTTGTTATTAACCCGAACCATCTGTTTTTAGTGGCCCTTATATCTGATTCCAATTAGATCGTATGATGTTTGTTATCGAACTATACATACCACCAACCCTCGTATATAATTATCGACTTAAATCACGTTAGTGAATAACGGAATTAAATAAATCAAATAGGAGAATGAATTTTGAATACGTATATTTTATACAATCGTTGATCTAGACAGACAGTTACGGAAACGAACTGAAGGAAGTAAAGAGGAGAGAGCGAAACGACACGACGTTTATTTATTTGTTTTGTTTTAACACATAAATATTGGTATAAAGAGTGCACCGAATACATATGCGCCATACAAGTCACTTGATTTGTGTGAGGGTTGTGATACTGCCCGGGTGCCCAAACCGAACCAGGAGGTTTTCTTAGGGGGCCACACCCCGAGCCTTTGACCTGAAGGTCTGATCCACAAGGCAATGGAGCATCGTGAGGAGATGCAGTCCCATGGTAGCCGGTGACCAACGATTGGTTCATACACCATTTGTTCCCACAGGATACTGGAGCCCATGTGCACCATTGGTTTGGAATCAGAGTTTTCGAATTCCCCTAGGTGGAATCTCCACATTTATCAACCTGTTTAAAGCGCCGGACATTTTTTTCTTCCTCTCAATTTCGTAAACAACACCTCCGCCACGAGAAGTCAGTGAGTAGGACTTCTCTGGCAGAGGCTATATACGCGTGGCTATGTGAGAACATTTCGAGAGGGAGAGCGGACTCTCCCCACTCTCGGCCATACTAGGTCATTTGGGGAAGCGACACGATATTAGGCTCAATGAAGCAGGTTACTGAGCCAACTCATTTTGATCAATTATGAATCGATATTTATATTTAGACAAAAATAAATTACAAACACATAATGATGAAAATAGGGTAATTGATTAGTTAATGAACTTCTTCAACTAATTCTATATGAATGAAAATTTACTTTGTCATTAAGTACTCAAATAAATTAACATTCTATATCTTGTTTATCATGAATCTCCACGTATACTATTATTATTATTCATTTCTGGAGTGTAGGTGTTGGAGTGGATTTAATCTGTTTGGCAGAACAACCTCTTCATGCAGTTCCATTGTTTAAAGTATGTTTATCATAAATTTATATTCAATAAAATATGTATATAAATTAATAAATGTTTATAGTTTCCAAGTGTTCTTATTAAGAGTTGTCATTGATCAGTCTCTATTTTCACGTATATGCATCATGTGTAGATTGCTTCACTAGAACCATACATCTTGATTTTCATCATTATTTGTAATGTTCAATATGCTAGATGCATGAATATTTTGACAGAATATTTTTCTTCATGGACTGATATCGGATGTAAAAAGGATTCTTCGATTAGAGAGAGCATCATATAATTTCTTTGTTTCAGTTTCAAAAATCCTCATCAGTATAAACACATAACCTCACATGAATATTGAACCAAGGATTTTTAAATCTTAGTGGTTAGCAAAATAGCATTATCGTCAAGTCAGAATATTCATTCACAATATAGTGCGAAATAATGTTCTCTCAAGATTGTAAGTATTCCTAGTTCACAGTTGGTAGGTAGGACGAAACTTAGATCCACTGTCTTTTGCCAACTTCCTCCAGTCACCACTTAGCATTGAGATGTAGTATGTTCATGCTATGTCGAATCACTTAATGTTTACGGTTGTATTTGGTCGATAGAATCAAAACTGTACCAAAGGAATGTGATATTTTATGATGTTTTTTCATCATCATAGGTGATGTAAGTTGGGAAAAGCCAAACGAGCTTTTCGAATCCGTGCTGAGATTTCGTCAGATACCAGCCCATCAGGACTGATCAGACTTCCAAGATAAGTGAAGTTGTCAACGCGTTCGACCACTTCACTCCCTATCTTTAGTTCAGATGCTGACACAGGCCAGTCCTGAAGCAACAACTTGCATTTAGAGGGAGAGAAGCGCATTCCAAACATTCTGGCATTGTTGCTCAGTGTTACCAAATGACTGCATTTTATCAGCATCCTCTCCAAACAAGACTATGTCATCTGCGTATTCTAAGTCGGTAAGTGGACCTCCTGGAAGGAGATCAATGCCCGATAATTCAGTCGACGAGAACGTTATTTCCATCAGTGTGTCTACGATAAAGTGGACTGAGATGGTTGCGCCACGTGTTGCGTATACCTGAACATCGATTACCACGACGCGTAATGCTGATTAGTGTTGGGGATGATTGGAAGAAAGTTAGGGGCGGCCAAACCAAAACGTGGCATCAGTGCTTGAAGTCACTAACTTCTAGTCTGAGCCATGTTGGTAGATGCAGACTACTTGGTTGGGGTCGGCGTGACTATCGTAACCAATGGTTGGAGACTCTTGGTGACATGGCTCAGAATCGATCACAATGGCGTCGGTGTATACACTCTTTGTCTTCCCTTAAACAATGAGATTAAAATAGCTTTATACCTTCTTTTCCACGAACTAATTCTTTCTTCCTGTACTATATCCTTATATGCAATCTTCCCTTTATATATAACACCAGTGAATTAACTGCGTCTGTGAATCCGGTGTTCATCCTGCTATAATAATGATGTGTGGCAACTGGGACCGATGCATATATGTGCCTGGTACTACGTTGTAGCTGACTGACTGACTTTTCATAATCATTTAGTAGTTAATCAATGTAAAGTTGTTCTCACTATGTCGCTAGTAGACTGATGTTTGAAAAATATAGATCACTTTTAGACCTCGAGATGGTTAGTACGATTTCTTACAGGTTCATAGCTGTACACTCTTATGGCGTTCCGAATTGAAACGTACGTAAGTAACTTATTCACTTATTGTTGATCCATGTACTCACTTTTAACCACGCTCTCTGTCTGTGGGCTAGTAATATTAGCAGGTTGCTCAAACTAAAGTAGGTGGAACAGTAATAAAGCCAAACACCTTAACCACTAATTCATTAAAGCGTAGTAACTATGCATTGTTTTTTGCTTTTAATGGCTTTACATTATCAATGCATGACAAAGGTAATTTTCTAATTGAATCGTCTCTACAGATCACTGAAATAAGTAAATGGGTTATTGTATTATTTGGTACTATTCACTACATAGCATTCAGAAAGCTAATTTGGTTTATTAGATTAATAAAAACACATCATCTATTAAGCTACAGTGTGTATTCCCCTCACTGATTTTTATTATAAAGGCTGATTGACGATATTCAAGTCATAGCTTTTGTGACATGCGAAAATAGTAAGTTGAAGATATAGCTATTTGGTTTGCAGTTACTTTCATCTCAAATACCATCGAGTTGTGTGCAGTGATTTATCCCTGGACAAAGTCGCGATCTTAAACGAAAGCATTTAGCACTATAAAAGTTTGTGGAGATATTTGAATATTACTGAGATCACGAATCGGCCTGTTGGTTTATTGAAGACCTTGAAGTTTAACATGCACACCACTTGATTTCGGTTCAATAGTCTAAAGGTTCGACGATAGCTTGAGACACTGAAGATCCTGAACCCTGAATCAACACAATTCTAAAGTCGTACATTAGGATAAACAGCTGTTCAGTGTTTTCAAATTTTCATGGTTGTCAAGTTTTTTCGTGATCCCAGAAAAGCGTTCAGATTTATCTGTAAACAGATTATGCAAAAGATTTTCGAAGTCTATTTTTATGACCATTCATTTGATTCATAAGGCAACATTTAAGTTAGACTGCAATCAGTCTTGTATTTATTGATTTATTTGAACATATAAACATTGGTAAAAGGGGGTATTAAATACATATGTGCCACACAGTAACAATGAGACTAGTATCAGTCATCATTGATTTGTATGGGGTTTGTAATACTGTCCGGGTGCCCAAACCGAAGCACGAGTTGTACCATTTTATAAACAAATGCTTTGTTTTGAGTATGAATATTTACCTTGATTCTGGACCCTTGAATTTATTTCAAAAGTTAGTTTATCCTTATCTGGATTAATATATTATGATACCTAGTTTTAACAATGATTTTTTCTCTTCCTCGTTTTTCTGTTTAGATTTTATCTGAATCTTTTATAAATCCAGAAGAATATGTTGCACCTCATTGGATTAATTGCAGGTAAGGTTACTTTCCATTGAAAGAAATCAATAATCTTTTGTTTTGTTAATCTACAATAGCTATTTTAAATCAGCACAAGAATTGAAATATATTGAAATGGGCAAACCATTTCCACGTGTTAAAGTAAGTAGTCTTTTTATGTATACCTACTTTGTCTATTATCAGTAGTATATCTTTTAATGTTAAATAATTCGTGTCAACTTGACGACGATATACATTCTAGTCCATTTAGAATTTATATTTCCTGTTATATAAATTTAATGGGCTTCAGATAACTTAAGCAGTTACTTACTTGTTTTTTGAAAATTATTCTTGATGAATAGACGCTAGCATTTCCTTACCGGTGGGATTTTAACTAAGTTTCACTTTTTTTTTTCTTGTTTAAGGCTTACTGACACTATATAACCGTCGAGTTCGAATCTCTAACCTCTTCCAGTTTAACTTTGAAAATTTGTTACTCTACATAGTGAATAGGTGTTTGAACTTTTTATTTTTAACTCATTGACTTCAATATTATGTTTCTTAATGTATGCTTAACTTTTTATAGGTTGTTTCTTTTAAACATTCAAATGAGGTACCCATTTCGACATTTATCAATGATGTACCAAGAGATGATCATGAACCTGATAATCAGCAAAAGTATGTCATATTAAAATTTTTTCAGAAATTTATTCTAAAAGTAATTTATGATCGCTAAACTGCTTACTTGGTAAATTTATGTATGTCATGTAAAGGAAATATTTTTATTTATAATGTATTTTACATAGTTTATTGAAAATAGGTCAGTCATTCAGTAACAACATAGAACTTCGTACGTATGCACATCAGTTCAAGTTGCCATACCATATTAGCACATAGATACAATTGTCGATTCAAATCCTATAGTCGTACAGTTAGTAAAAACTATAGGCAGTAATCGGAAACATTAGGGTTTGGAGATGTTATTTAAGGAGTATAATCCAATGAAATAAATTTGGAAAGAGAAAAAAGCAGACATGAAGAATTCAGAAGATTAGAATTTGGGAGAATACAAAGAGTGGATGAACTTAAACCATTGTAAACGATTTTGAGCCATGTCATTCAAGGTCTCTAACCATCGGTTGCTATCGTCTCACTGATCTCAACCAGGTAGTCTACACCTACCAACATTGAAAAAAGGTGATATGATTCATTTTATAAGTATAGATAGAATGGTATCGCAATAAAAATGGTTCCATTACTCGATTTAGATTTTTTTATACATAAATCTTGTTTGAAAGTATACATATTATCAAGTTAACGGTTTATAATGATGAACATATCATGAATGATTATTTAAATATTTAAGAGAATGCAGATAGATAAATAGGTAGATAGATGGTGCACAGTAATACGATATATGATAAGTCTTGCTTGATCCGATTTCCTAGCTGTTTCTAATAAACTCAGTCTAAATCTACACGGCAACTTGAATACAAGAGAATAGGCGTGAAGTGCAAAAAGAACGTTCAATTCTAGATTTGTTTAAATACAGAAAGACTAGAGTATTAATAGAATTACTTTAGGCTTTGGAAGTCTATGAAAGCATAATAAATATAGTGCCAGTGTAGTTAAATATTCATTCGATAACATAACATGTGACTCTCCACCTTCCAAATGTTTCAACATTGATTGGACAAAATGTTTCCTAACATTTTGTGGACTTCTATAGACTTTTCCGAGCAATAGTTTGGAATATCGCAATATTTGAATCGGCTGATCACCGCTCAAAACATTGATTTATTGATGCAAGCCTTCTAAATTGTCTAACTGTTAGTGTTTACTCTTGTTCTTTATATCATTTACTCGGTCAATTAGATCTTAGGACAGCTATGTATGGTTCTAAGTTGCTACATTTTGCGTCAGTATATTTAATGACGAAATGAACAAGGCAACAAAACTATGTGCTCTAAATAATATTAATTATAGTAGAAGTTAATCATGGAGCATGTAGTTTGAAAAAACGAATGTATGAACAACGGACTGATTGTATTGTCGCTTATTCACAAACAACTTTCTATTGTATTCAATAACGATTCAAATGTGGTACTTCTTTGAAAGCTCACTTACCATAGTTTATATCAAAATGTTTTGTCTATTATAATATCTAAGCTTTTTCAACTTAAACTATCATTCACATATCTCCATTCTGAATTCTTTTGTCATTCTAATTTGTGTCCTTGTGGTTCTGTTGGATCAATACACTCCAGTTATATTTTAATTTTTTTCAGTCAAGTTATAGCTATTCTTTTCTCATATCATATAGGAATGTCCCAAAGGAAAATTTTGATGATACTATTCCTACGACTACATCTATTACTATCACTAAGTCATCTCTTCCTATCTACCGTATCGCCTATCCACCATATCAATCACCATCTAACCAAAACAAACGTAAAAAATCACATCAACTACCGAATGAAGTAATCAGTGGGAATATAACAAAATCTCACGATTCCATAACAAGTGATTATTGTTCACCATCAACTGTTCGACATCAACTGGATGATAATCCTTCACATATGATATCATCTATAACAGATCAGTCATCTTCCGCAGAATCAAATCTTATACCTATTTGTTGCTTGAATTATACAACACAAATTTCAAAGAATGCATTAACAGCTATTTGCAAATCTAAACAAATTGTTTCAACATCATCATCATCATCATATAGGAATTTATCACGAAGTTATGATTCGTATATCACGTCTAATGGTTCTATAACTCCTCTAGTTAGTTCAACTAATGTTAGCGGTATCGGCTTTGGTATTACCAGTCATAGTCAGATTGTTAATATAGATAAATACCAACCAACTAATCATATACATACGTCATTGTCACGTGTCTCATCTATTGGTGGTAGTAATAACAGTGGTAGTGGTAGTATTAGTGGTTATACAACAATTACCTCGCTCCCATCGGTTCGTGAACGCTGTATAGAAAATGGTCAATTAATAACTGATAAAAATCAGATTTTATCAATTCCAGTGACATCTCGGAATGCAAGAAATCGAACACAAAGTTTTAATGGAGAACAAAGAACAAAATTATCATATATCGATAATCATGCCAATTTCAGAGAGATTCCTAATTCTGTGAATGAGGCTAATTATAATGTAAATAGTGCTGAAGTTGCATATCTACATGAAACTGCTATTTCTCGTTGTCGAAGTAAGTAATTTCTATGAATGTATGCATGTTTGTTTAGCTAGTCCATTTTATTTGAACTGTTTTTCTACCATCATTATTCATTTCTTGCATATTAGTTATATGGAAGTAAATAAACCTTGTAAAGGTCCTTCGCAGCCTCAAGTGGTGTTCGACAAGGCTGTCCACTATCTCCATTTTTGTTCAACCTTATCGTAGACACACTGATGGAAATAACGTTCGCGTCGACTGAATTTTCAGGAATCGATTTCCTTCCAGGGGGTCCACTTATCAACTTAGAATACATAGATGACATAGTCCTGTTTGGTGAAGATGGTGATAAAATGCAGTTATTTGGTAACACTGAGCAACAATGCCAGAATGTTCGGAATGCGCTTCTCTCATTCTAAATGCAAGTTGTTGCTTAAAAACTGACCTGCATCAACACCTGAACTAAGGGAATGAAGGTAAATCAGTTGATGAAGTTGTGAATCTTCATCGACTAAAATGGTTGGGCCACGGGTTACATGTGCCTGAACACCGATTGTCACGACACGTAATGCTGACTAGTGTTGGGGATGGTTGGAAGAAAGTTAGAAGCGGCCAAACGAAAACGTGGCATCAGTGCTTGAAGTCACTAACTTCTAGTTTGAGTCATGTTGGTAGATGCAGACTACTTGGTTGGGGTCGGCGTGACTATCGTAACCAATGGTTGGAGACTTTGGGTGACATGACGATGCATTGCTCATATATCTTAGAACCATGGAGTTAACAATTCTGAGGTTAGACACAGGGTAGTAGGTAAGGATGGCAAATCGGTTAGTGAGGTTCTGAATATTTATCCAATGACGTAGTAGCGATCTATAGTACGTATGCTCATCCACTAACTACCTTGATCGGGAATAATGGTTGATGTAGGAGTAGGTTGGAGTAAAACTTGGGGTGGCTAGAATAAGACGTGATCTGACCATGAATGCACTGACTGTTGGACTGAGTCATGTAAGTAGGTGCAGACTACCTAGTTTGGGCCCACGTGATTATCATATTCAGCGGTTATCAGTGTTGGATGACAATGTTCAGAACAGGTATCAATGGCGTAGCTGCATTTACTCTCTATCTTCCCTTAGAACCTCTGGTTCTAGGTGTCATAAATTTTTTTATTCCATTAATCCACACTTTATAATGGGGTGTGACCAGGTGAACCGATGTACATATGTGCCAGGTTCTATCTTGCATACTACTGACTAACTTAAATGATTTTTTCTAGCTTTCTCAATGTGATAAAGTCTATTACTAAATTTTGATTGATTGGCTAAGAATATAATTAGTATTAAAGCGTTGACTTAGTATTTAGGACAATCATCCAGATACTAACCAGGTCTAATGTTGTTTAACTTGGGTGATTAAATGACAATCATTATTTTTGATGTACTATGGTTGCTGACAGACATACTAGAAATAGGAGAGGTAATGATACTATGGAGATTGCCCAGATCGAAGTAAGTGAAGTCGGGTTTAAATCTATAACTCAGCGACTGAATGCCCAAGTCACTGAGTTATTGCTCCACTTCGAATGTAACTTTTAGTTATGTACGTAGATTCCTACCTGGTAATGAGTTATGGATTCACACTCTCGTATAATTGAGTAATTTTGTCGCTAATCTTGGAGCAAAATGCACAGATCGTCGAGAGTTGTACTGTTTTTGTATATAAAGTTATTTGTTCATTAACTTGTAGTATCAGTTATGTTAAGCCCATATACCTTGCTCTAGCTTTCGGGCAGGCCAATCTATTCATTGTGCTTGTTAATTATTCACTTATCAATCTTCACTGTTTTTATATGAGCGCATATGTGTGTGTACATTTCTTATCCCATTCTTTACATGTCTGTAGCTTATTTTTGTGGGCCTATAAGTATAGATTAAAGCTTGACTAAAGGAGTTGGCTTACCCGCCATCTTTACCGCGCGTCATTTATGTTTCTCTCTCTTCTCTTAGCATCGTTTCCTCGTTCGTTTGTCTGGATCAACGATTATACAAAACATATGTATTCAAAAGTCAATTCTCTTTATTTGACTTATTTAATTCCGTTATTCACGCAACACGGATTAAGTCGATAAAGACATACGAGGATAGGCGACATAAACGATTCAATAACAGTCATTCATACGATCTACTTGGAGTCAGAACTCGGGTCACTAAAGTGGAGAGCCCGTCAACAAACATCGTCCGATCTAAATGACGACAAAATAAAGGGCCCCACAAACTTAAGCTTTTGATGTGGTTGCAGCGTAACCGTTGCAGTATTGTATTCCTTTAAGTAATATATATGGAATATTAGTATATTGTCAACATTTTTTTCTCCAAAATTTTACTCCATTTATTCAATAACATATAATTCTTACTTTTATAAATTTTTCTTTTCAGCAATGGATGTTATTTTATCAGATGGACAACCATCTCCAAATTCATGGAATAGCATCACTCCTCAACATTTTACATTACGTAGTTGTAATTCAATAGATCGTCGTACTAATGGTACCTTATCATTATCTGGATTAAATTCTCATACTTTACCATTTATTCGTAGAAAATCAACGATTACATTATATTCAGCAATAACAACCACTACTACTAATAATACTACTAATACTAATACTCCAATACATTGTGGAAAATTTAATTCAACTACATATTCACGTAATTTAACAAATTATGCAACTAGTTCACTTATATCAGGAGCATATTTTCCATTTGGTTTAAGTAAAAATCCATATAGAATGCCAATATCTGCTGGTCAACGTAGATGGGCACTTGTTCGTCCTTCAGGTTAGTTATAGTAATAATAATAATATTATTATTATTATTATTTTGATGTAATTAAATGTAAAAATTTAAGGGAAATAATGTGAATTTATTTTATTTCGTTATGTTCTCATCAGGCAAACAGATATCTTCAACATGGTATCTGGTCCAAACTGCCATATCTGATTAGCATGATGAGATGAAAACAACAAAAGATTAAAATAATATAGGAGCAATGATAAAAAAGCCCACCTGTTAGAAGTATGCTTTGAAAAGACGGAATGGAAAGATATTTGTGAAGGAATATTGAAGTTCAAAATCGATAGAAAGATAAAGAGTGAATATATTTGTTCTTCTGTGAATAATTCTGAGTCATTTTATCAAAAATCTAACCACTGATTATGGCTGTCGAGTTGACCCCCAACCAAGTAGTCTGCATCTATCAACAAACCAAGCATTGCTCCTCGAAGTAGTCAGTAGGTGAGCTTACATAATATATGTCCTAACCACCTCCATCGATGAAGATCCATCACCTCATCAACCGACTTGTCACATCTGTCTAACTTCAAACTTACTCCTTTGGTCGTTCTTTAAAACACGAGCAATGCTTCGAAGACAGCGGTTATCAAAGACTTTCCAGCTTAAGCCTATCTTCTACTTTCATAGTCTATGTTTCGCATACAGAAAGTCGGACAGATTCATACAAACTATTTTTAAATCAAAATTATACATAGAATTTAACATACTCCTTGAATAACATCTTCAAACCCTAATGTTTCCGATTACTGCTTATACTCTTACTACCTCTATCACTACGGAATTTGAATCGACAAATGCATTTCTGTACTAGTGTGATATGGCAACTCGAACTGATGTACGTACGTACGAAGTTCTACGTTGTTACGGACTGACATACTTATATAAGAAAAGTTGGCTAGCACTGAAGTTATATCATCTGAATGTCACAAAGATTTCATTGAAACTTAATAAGATTATCAGAACAATATGTTGTAAGTAAAACTTACAATACGTACGAATAAATTCCAGATCATCAAAAATAATAACTGAAGCTCATAATGCTATAAAAAAACTTGAAATGTCTTTCAATATATCTTCAGAATTGAATATACTTTTGATGGAGTTTTGTTATCTGAGCTAGATGGATTGGTCGTAGAGCTTTCATTGTTCTTCTGAACGACATCATCAGCACAAACTTGAAAAAGGAAGTAACGTGTTCGAATTTCTCCACATATAATTCAGAGCTTGTCCTGTACACCTCGATCTAGATTGGTTTTTGTTGACCTTAAACCTGTCATTGTTTACCTCTTTGCTTTGATTTTATCTCGCATAAAAAAGTAAACAATCATACATTATCAGAAGGGGTTTTGTGGGGATTTTAGAAATTTCACTGTTTGAAATCATGAGTCAATTGAAGCTAGACTACCATGGAAAACCTGGAGGCACTTGACCGCCGTTTCGTCATAGTATGGGACTCCTCGGCAGTGCGCGTCCACGATTTCTCACCCCACGATATTCGAACCAGATACTCTTGGAATTCTAGTGAGAAGCCGTTACAAGTGGAGTTCAACCAGGTCTGTTGTGAGATATCAACTCACCGAAGACAATGGAGTACGGTGGCGTAACTTCGTGGATTGGTTGAAGTTAGACATTAACACCGATAGATGCCGGCTTACTGGTCTAGTTGGTTAAGCGCCTAGCGTGAAACTGTTAGGTCCTGGGTTCGAATCTCGCTGGGGTGTTGGATCGTGGATGCGCACTGCTGAGGAGTCCCATACTTCGATGAAATGGTCGTCCATTGCCTCCAGGTTTTCCATGGTGGTCTAGCTTCAATTGACTCATGATTTCAATCAGTGAAATGATGCATTAGAAGTCAACAATAATCAATCAACATCGAGGTCTACAGGACAAGCTCTGAACCACATGTGGAGAGATTCCAACACTTCATTTCTACCTAAATTTTGTGTTGATGATATCGTTCAGAAGAATAATGAAAGCTCTACAACCAAACCATCTAGCTCAGAGAACAAAACTCCATCAAAATCATCCACCTGAGCTACAAATCTTCTTCACCATCTTGAAATGTATAAATTCTGTATTGAAATCTAACAATCGAGCAGGACTAAACTACAATTTATGAATTTACAAGAACATGACAAATAAGAATAATACAAAAAGTTAACTGAAAAAGAAAATTAGTCATAAATGTATGATTTTTTTTCTAAAATTGTATTCTTCTATCCCTTTAATCAGAAACAAAAAAAGGGAAGAAACATACAACATGAACAGAAACAAGAATTACAAAAAGAAAAAAGTCATTAATTATTACTAAGCTTTAATAATAATAATAATTAAATAATAACATAGAAAGTAAACAAGTATTCATTATACAAACTATTCTACAATTAGATTGTATCATTACGTAAATATCATTTATAATATATAAACATTAATGAAACAACTCCTTGTACTTTATATTTATATATATAATAAGACAGAATACATTTGTATTAATGGTACCGTTTTACCATAGCTAACAACTGCTATTTGAATCCAATGTTCATCTTGTTGTACTAATGAAATATGGCAACTTGAAAACGATGGGTATATGTGTGTAGTTCTACGTTTTAACTGACTGACTACTATTTAAAGTGTGTGTGTTTTTTTTTGTTGAAAAATACAATATGAGGAAAACAAATGAATGAATAATAAAATCCTTTTTTTTTGTTATAGGAGTTTATTCTCTTTTTTAAGTGCTTGTTATTATTTTACAATGTTCAATGTTATATTTTGATATTTTAAGCAATTCGAGAGATAATAATAATAAGAAGAAGAAGCAAAGATGGATAATGGCTAACAGTGGAATCCACGATGCGCGTTTCATCTTATTTGAGACTCGTCAGCTGGATGTACCTGCATCCCGAAGTGAACATCAACTCTATGATGCAGGTACATCTAGTTGACGTGTGTCAAATAGGACGAAACGCGCATCCTGTAACCTACTGCTAACGTTGGTGATGATCTAAAAGTATCCTGCTCTTTGCGAGACCAAAAAAGTTACTGATTCAATTTTATTTGGATTTGTAAGTATTGTTGGGGACGTTAAAAATCCCCAGAACTCACTTGGAAAAAGACCTGATTTTATTTAGAAAATTTGAATTTCTTTGTTTCCGCGCCAAAAGCGCTCTTTTCACCTTCATGTATTTCCCACTTGGGAGAATCTGAAATGCCATTGGTCCATCGTATATTTTAGTATGATATTTTGTAACTTTCCCCAAGGACGGTTTTGTGCTGTATATATACGTTTTGATTTGTGTCGGTTGTTATCGCTCGTTTTCTGGCTTTTGTGGAATATATTTCCCCATTTCAAGCTTGGACTTCTTCCTCTAGTTAGCGAGGCTGAGACGCATCGAGTCTTTGTTCCGTTCGTAGATTAATTGAACTTGTGACCGCTTCAAACCTAGCAAGTATATACCTAACAAAGCGCTTCAAAGTAAAACAAAAAGTCTGTATACAGCGTTCCTTGTTTTCCAATGGTTCTACATGTAATATTAATTGATAGAGTTGTGGCCCAATAGTTAAGGTGTTCTATTTGCAACTTCGAACCCGTCTCTTTCTACTTAAACTAGGTTGTATCACTTTCTCGCACCCTCGAAGTGTATCTTGAAGCATAATAAAATGGACTAATAATAATTATTATAAAGTTCATCATCAAGTTATCTTTTGAGAAAATTAAATAGTTACAAGTAACAATCACCAATCTAAATATAAAGATCTGTTTTTTTTCTTCTCTGAAAAATATTGTTGTATTTACAGATGAACATGGAGGTACTATTACACCACATTGTATCATTACATCTAAAGACGATATCGATTTTATGTATCCTGCACCGTTACCTTATAATCTTTGTCAAGTGAGTACACAATAAATTTTTTTTTCATTGGTTATCTGGACTATAATGTTTATTTATTCTGTTTATATCAATGTAGTGGATGTTTGTTTTTGGGTTTTTTTTACAAAATAATATGGCTTATGTAGAATAAAAGTTAGTTACTTAGAAATATATCAGTATTATTATAGGATAAGAAGGATCTTGAGATGGTGAAGATTTGTAGCTCAGGTGGATGGTTTTGGTGGAGTTTTGTTCTCTGAGCTGGATGGTTTGGTCGTGGAGCTTTCATCGTTCTTCTGAACGACATCATCAGCACAAACTTCAGATAGAAGTGAAGTGTTTGAATTTCTCAATATGTGTCTCAAAGCTTGTTCTGTGCACCTCGACGTTGATTGGTTCTTATTGACCTTAAATTTAAGGTCGAGGTGCACAGAACAAGCTTTGAGACACATATGGAGAAATTCAAACACTTCACTTCTATCTGAAGTTTGTGCTGATGATGTCGTTCAGAAGAACGATGAAAGCTCCACGACCAAACCATCCAGCTCAGAGAACAAAACTCCACCAAAATAAGAAGGATCTCTCGACTGATGATATATATTCATTGCAGTAAACGTTTGTGCTTAGTAGTAGCTGCTTGTGTTACGTGACAGTCAGTCAGTTAGCTACAACGTAAGACCAGGCACATATATGCATCGGTCCAAGTTGAAATACCTCATTAGCACAACAAGATGAACACAAAATTCATAGAAGTAGTTACTTTAATAGTAGTAAAAAGACATTTCATTTAAGGATATGATATAGGGAGAAAGAGTTAGTTCGTAGAAAGAATAGTATAAAGTAATTTTAATCTCAAGATGTAAGAGAAGACAAAGAGTGTATACACTAATGTCGTTGTGATCGATTCTGGGCCATGTCACCCACAATCTCCAAACATTGGTTACGATAGTCACGCGGACCCCAACCAAGTAGTCTTCATCTACGTGAAAATGTCATTTCAATCCTAATATTCCACGGTATAGAAATAAGAGAGAAGAAAAGTTAGACCTTGTTGAGAAATTTATTGCTGTATCTCAAACTTAGAAAAGGTGCCACAATAAATATGTTTATATGATAACGATTTTGATTTTAAGGGTGGTTGTGTTAGTCGTTTTTCAGCCACTATCTACCACAACATCGATAGTTCAGTAGAATAGGTGAGGTTGAACGAAAAACAATAGAATTGACTACAGGAATATACCATATGTTTTCATAAAGTCACTGAATACTGTTTTTCTCTACGTTGTTATCCAAGTTTGAAAGTCATTAAGAAGTATGGTTTTATGTATTTAAAGTGAATTGATATTTTTCGCTCAGACTCGTTCTCTATTTGGTTTCAATTAGTTTTTTACGTAAATTATATACCAAAAATAACTTTCTATGAAGAGTTTGTAGAGATCGTTAGGATTAATTGTTTAGATCACAGATTAAGATTAGTTAGAAACTCATTAAAATTATGCGACATTGGATAGTTGTTAAGTTCCTTAGTACAAGATTCAGGAATGTATATCCATGGCCCTACTAGAGATTAAACACAATGGTTTTTAGTCTTCAGTGGTTGCCTAACTAAGGTCAGTGCCTAAAGTAAACTATAATATTCAGCAGTCACTATAAATCCCTATACTTTTTCACGTTTTCTCTATCTTAGTGTAGCAGTGTATGATAATTTATATTGCTAGTGTGACATTTCGGTCAGTACGACTTTGATTTTACATTTTCCAGTGCAGCATTATTTCAGGTCAATGCGTTTTGTATTAGTTAAATGTGACTTTCATTCAGTATGATAGATGTGAACCTTCGTTCACTGTGATAATTATATTATTTGTATTATTCTATGTGAATTCTTTATGCGTTTTACAGTAACTCCATGTGCCTTTACATTCTTATGATATTTATTAATTAATATATAAATGAGTGTATCTGGTCTTTGTGTCGTCGTTTCGTGTCGTGGGACTTAGAATGGTTCCCATTCCCAAGTAAAACCAGCAGGGCAGTAAATAATACATGAAGCCATGATCACTAGAGTTCAATCATGTCGATTGTGAGGCAGTTATCCGCTGTTGTCGTTGAGGGTTTGTCTTCTACAAGACCAAATCAACAGGATTTATAAACTAGCATAAATTTACTTTACTGAAAGTTTTCCTATCATCTTCAAGTCATATAATGGGGTATGGTGAATATTAAAAACAAAACTGATAACGTTGGGGTGAAAATTCCAAATAATACTGTAAATAGATAAGATTAAACATAGAATAAACAGTATTACATAAGTCTCAGATAAAGTGATTATTTATTTATTTTCGGAAACTTCATATTCTGTTCAAATAAAAGTTCTCACTATAAAGTGATAATATTTGGAGAGCAAGTTTTGGAATCTCACTAGTTGATTAGAGTTCATACCGTTGATAAGGACTTCTAGCTCCTTATTACTTCTCGAGAATTCTTCTACAGTAGAACATTGAACAGAGGAGAAAATGTAAGAAGTATGATAAGGAGCTTTATTTCCATAGTTATTTTGGATACAGAAAAGAAAACTATTTAATGCTTGTTAAATTACTTTGATATTCTGCAAACTTATGTGAACATGTTAAATATACCAACAAAACCTATAATTCTCCAATCCAAGACATCAAGAACAACTAATTCATTGTTGAAAGTATTTTCAATCTTCCAGCTTCCAAAGATCTTTCCTAAGAATTCTTGAGGTCCCTCAAAAAGTGTTGTAAGTTAGAACTAAATTATGTACCTCATGTAAGGGTATCGTCTTTTTTTTGTTTTTGTTTTTGGTTTACGGAAAAATTATGACTTGTGTTAAATATAGTTTTCTTCTGCTATGATATCTAGCTCCTGCTTCAGTTTGGGCATCCGGGCAATATCACAGCCCTCACACATATCAAATGAGATTTGTGTGGCGCATATGTATTCGGTGCCTCCTTGTATCAATATCTATGTGTTAAAATAAATATAAATAAATAAATACTGATATCTAGGTGACAGTTGTAGTACTTCTGTGATATTCAAGTTATTTATTTATTCACTGCCGATATTTATCGATCTCACTTCTATTGTTCTCATTTGTTAAAAATATATAGATTTGGACAGCATATTTTGACTTTTTACGTGCACGTTTTTTGGATAAAAGAGAATCAAATCAGAATAGTGTTAAAGATAACAATAATAATAATAATGATAATGTCAACTGTGTTAATCGTCCAATTGCTGATATTCAACATTCCAGTTTCAATAAAGCCAATGCTTACATGTAAGTATCCTTACAAAAAGTTTAACTTGATAATTTCAAATAAATTGAACATTTGGGTATATTGTTATACATTTTCACAGATTGAAATCATGAGTCAGTTGAAGCTAGACCACCATTGAAAACCTGGAAGCACTGAACGGCCGTTTCGTCCTAGTATGGGACTCCTCAGCAGTGCGCATCCACGATCCCGCACCACGCGGGGCTCGAACCCAGAACCTACTGGCTTCGCGCGCGATCTCACTGAAGACAATGGTGTACGGTGGCGCAACTTCGTGGATTGGTTGAAGTTAGACATTAACACCGTTGGATGCCGGCTCAGTGGTCTAGTGGTTAGGTGTTCGCGCGCGAAGCCAGTAGGTTCTGGGTTCGAGCCCCGCGTGGTGGGGGCTTGATTGATCCTGACGATAAATAATGAGTGATCGTCAGTTAAATGTTAGCAGTTCAGTAAATCGACATCTAAATAATGTTCATTCTTTTCGATGAATAGTGTCAGCTATCACAATATCTCTGATTGTACTTATTCGTAACTTTTACAGTGAAAGGTCATAAATGTGCCTGAATAGGTTATGCGATTAATGGTCATAATGATGTGTTATAACAAACAGACAAACAAGAAAACAGATAACTTGTTGAAATATCTAAATGGTAGCAACAGGTAGATCAGATATTCAAACAAACCACTAATAATAGTTTATTTATTTTTGAAGCTTAAATTTCTAATTGATTCATGATTTCAACCTGTGAAATTTCTAAAACTCTCCTCAAAACCCATTCTGATAATAATCAACTGCTCACTAGTGACTGACTTCAAGAAAAACTCCCGAAGTTCTAGTGAGAAGCCGCTACCAGTGGAGTTCAACCAGGTCTGTTGTGAGATATCAGCTCACTGAAGATAATGGTGTACGGTGACGCAACTTCGTGGATTGGTTGAAGTTAGACATTAACACCGTTGGATGTAGGCTCAGTGGTCTAGTGGTTAAGTGCTCGCGCGCGAAGCCAGTGGGTTCTGGGTTCGAGCCCCACGTGGTGCGGGATCGTGGATGCGCACTGCTGAGGAGTCCCATACTAGGACGAAATGGCCGTCCAGTGCTTCCAGGTTTTCAATGGTGGTCTAGCTCCAATTGACTCATGATTTCAATCTGTGAAAATTTCTAAAAATCTCCACAAACCCCCTTCTGATATTGTTATAAATAGAAACAGTATATTTGTAATATTTCAATGAGTCGATTTTCTGATGTTTCTTGACTTAGTGTAAACCACTTCATCAGAGAATAAATGATATCTTTCTTGATTGGAAGACAATAAGTTAGTTATTAAAGAAGTCAGTCTTTCATATCATGAATGATTAAAATTGCTTACTTAAATAATCGAATATCCTATTTTCGAATTATGTAACTAGTACATATAGTTTTTTTTGTATTATATAATCATTTGAACTAAACAATTATAAATGTACTCGTGCTCTGTTTTTAAAAAAATGACAATTTACGAATTGGTTGCTAGGTTGAATACTAGAAAACAGATACAGGATACATGGCAACTAGTTGACATATTTTCCTTTTTTTTTAACATTGAGATGAGGAAAGATAAACATATATCTGATACATGATAAATGGGAGGGGAAAAAAAGTTTTGACAACTGATGTATGAGTACAGAAGTTTCGTGATTGAAGATATAGATAGTAGAAACTGACTATTAAAAATATATATGAAACATATTTTTTTAATATAATATAATATATAGTGGAACTTACTATAGATTTGTCAAAAGAATCCTTTCTTCTTCAAATTACCATTCAGTAATGTGTCAAATAATCTTTTATGGAAAGAGGTTTAAATCACTTATTGACAAAACGTAGTACATAGCAAAGATCATTACCAAAGAAAGAACAAAATCTGTGCTTCAGTATAAACTTAAAAGGCATGGAAACAATTGCATCACATCCCACTGTGTTTACCACTTTAGATGTGTATGTGGTCACACATACACAGCGAGAAGTGATCGTGATTGTCAAATTAGAGTATTTGCATGTCTACGTGAATGTTTATCAAAACAAATACAATCAAATAACTCAGTAAGAGTGAACGATGAACATCTATCATCCTTTATTGCTAAACATCTAATTGAAGCAGATCAAAAGATTGATCTTTACTCGACTTTTATTGATTTGTAAAAAAGTGTTCATTAGTGATTACTAAGATATATTGACGTCTTGGCCATACGAAAATTCAAATCTCTTTTATGTATTCCAAAATAGTTTATCCTCACTTTTACAAGTATTTATGTGATCAAATTGTTCGAAATATATTGCACCGAAGGGACCCAGCTAATCATAGTATGATGGAACGTTCTGGAATTCCAACGTGGCGTGCTACTATTGATCGGTAGCATAATATGTCGTTAACGGATTGGCTGAAATATGATGTTGATTTAACAGACGCCAACATCTATAAATACCTATGATTTTCTGTACAAAAATGAACCTCGGGATAAAGTATTTTCTTTCATACTTATGTCTTCTCTCTGGTGTTCAAGTCGCTGTGTAGTTCTAGACTGCGGGTTACCCGAATAGCTTAGGAAACTAATATAGCGTTTAATCCACACGACTTATCAATTTATAACAGTCATATTGCATTTATTATTATTATTATTATTATTATCGTACTATGACTGCTATTCTAAATAGCATTTGTTAATCCTTTCTTTTTTATATTATGCTTGTTCAGATCTTCAAAACATTTATCAGCCTATGATGAACGTACCACTGAAAAAGAGAGTAAGTTGTGTTTTTTTTCACTTCCTGTTTTTTTTTAGTATGACGGCTTTGTGTAGATTATCGAATTATCCCAGTTTAAATCATGAGCTTATTTTAACAAGACTATCATTGGAAATCTGCAAATACTGGACGGGCGCTTTATCCTTGTATATGACTTCTCAGTAGTGGATATTCTTAAGCTTACCGGCTGTGTGGTTTATAGGTTAAGGGTTCGCACACAAAACCGACGATTCTGGATTTGACTAAGTTATGTTTAAAAAATTGTTCACATCTTTTTCAACTGACTTCAGTTAAATATTAGGAAGTAGAGTCCTTAATATTAGTGGATCAACATATTAAGTTTTTTCATGATCGTTCTTCTTTCATTTGATACAATCAATTTATTTAACGAACATGTGAACAGTGTATTCAATTACTTACTTACTTACTTACTACTGTTACTCGCGATGGAGCATAGGCCACTGACCAGTATTCTCCAACCCACTCTGTCCTGGGCCTTCCTTTCCAGTTCTATCAAATTTTTGTTCATTTTTCTCATGTCTATCTCTATTTCCCGGTGTAATGTGTTCTTTGATCTTCCTCTTTTCCTTTGGCCTTGAGGATTTCATGTGAGTGATTGCCTTGTGATGCATTTGGGTGCTTTCCTCAATGTGTGTTTTATCCACTTCCAGCGCTTCTTCCTGATGCGAAGGATTCAATTACAAATCCCTATTTCTTATCCAGTTATTCTAATTGTAAACTGGGTTAATAAAATATGTAGATCAATCTCTAAGTATATATTGTTGGGAGTCCTCGATAATTTCTCGAAATATTCTTTTCAGAATTCAAGAACATTCCATAATTTCATTTCTCTAGTCACATATACTCTTATAAATAAGTAATATCACTGATGCTTACACCATGAACACTGTAGCTCTAAAGTGAAAGCGTCAATTTATTTTGACTCAGTAAATGTGTTCCATTCTACATTGTATAATTAATTTTCATGATTTGTGTACACTGAAATAAACGGAGTTTTCTTTTTACTTACATTTGAATATAAAAATCTAAACTGTCTCTTTCATAATGTACTCGGATATGAACATTAATAATACTTTCAATGGTTAAGATCATGAGTCAGTTGAAGCTAGACCACCATGGAAAACCTGGAAGCACTGGACGGCCGTTTCGTCCTATTGTAGGACTCCTCATCAGTGCGCATCCACGACCTCGCCCTTTGCGAGATTCGAACCCAGGACCTACTGGTTTCGCGCCCGAGCACTGCTGAGGAGTCCCACAATAGGACGAAACGGCCGTCCAGTGCTTCCAGGTTTTCCATGGTGGTCTAGCTTCAACTGACTCATGATCTTAGCCATTGAAATTACTACAATCTCCACAAAAACCCATCTGATATTAATAATACTATTCGGTTTTTCAAACTAAATAAATTGAAAGCAATTAGTCCCTTTGATAAATTTCGATAATATAATAAGAAGACAAAGATTATCAAAAGTATGTGGTATCATTAGCGCAATACATTTCGAACAATGTGATCATACATATACTTGTTAGAACAAAACTCCACCAAAATCATCCATCTGAGCTACAAATCTTCTCTATCATCTCAATAAAAATCAAAGGCCAACTAAACTAGAACTGGAGGGTAAGAGGGGACAAAGATAATAATAAGAGTAATAATAATAGTATTGTGAACACAATTTGAAACCTAATCACTCTGGATAATAAGCTAATATTACCAGGATGTGAACAAACTGCTTTTGAATACACAAAGGGGGTTTGAATTCTCGTATGGCTAAGGCTTCAATAAACCGTAGTATACGACCTTTTACACTTTTATACATCACAAAAGTCGAGTTAAGATCGATCTAATGACCTGTTTCGATTACATGTTTATCAATAGTGGATGATGGATGTTTTTCCTCTATTCTTATTGGGTCACTTGATTCTATTTGTTTCTGCAACCATTTTGGTATATGTTCACACACCCTAATTTTGAGATCTTGATTGTTCCTCTCTATGTATGTGTGACCACACACACATTTAAATTGGTAAATACAGTGGGATGTGACATAATCGTTTTCATGTCTTTTAGGTTTTGGATGAAGCATGCAATACATTTTGTTGATGACTGAAATAAAGGCTTAAGCCTTTGTTTCAATAAAAGTATTTGAATCACCTCTAAATGATAAGGTGATGTGTAGACAGGCTTTTTTTCTACCAAGGTTACAGTAGGTCTCATTGTACCATGAACTTTCCATCTATTTATGAATTGCAGAGGATAATCATTTTTCATTAATATTTTATTTAGCAACCTAATATTATCATCAATGGCGTCATTTGTACAAATACAATCAAGAAATTTAAAACAATTAGTCCATTTGATAAATTTCGATAATGTAATAAGAAGACGAAGATTATCAGAACTATGTGATGATATATTAGCTCAATACATTTCGAACAATCTGATCACACATTACATACTTGTTAAGAGCATTTATATATATATATAAATAAAAGGTCAACTAGACTGGAAACGGGGTAAGAGGAGATAAGGAAGGAACAAGGTGCATCCGTTATCTAAAACCTAAAAGACATGAAAACGATTATGTCACATCCCACTGTGTTTACCAACTTAAATGTCTGTGTGGTCACACATACATAGGGAGGAGCAATCGTGATTTCAAAATTAGGGTGAGTGAACATGTACCAAAATGGTTGCAGAAACAAATAGAATCAAGTGACCCAATAAGAATAGAGGATAAACATCCATCATCCTCTATTGTTAAACATGTAATCGAAACAGGTCATAAGATTAATAAATAAGAACTTTTGTCTAATTTTGAACGAATAGTTTCACAATATTTGGTCGCCGAGTTAATTTGAGACATTAAAAAGAAGAATATATTTGTAAAATCTCAGCGAATGAATTTTAAGTAAATCCAACGTTTCGCCTGGCAATCTGGTCCAAGCTTTTGTTTATATTTTCCTTGAAAAAGCTTGGACCAGATTGCCAGGCGAAACGTTGGATTTACTTAAAATTCATTCGCTGAGATTTTACAAATATATTCTTCTTTTTAAGGTCATAAGATTGATTTAAACTCGGCTTTTGTGTTGTTGTATAAAAGTGTAAATGGTCGTATACTACGGTTTATTGAAGCCTTAGCCCCTTTGTGTATTCGAAAACAGTTTGTTCTTACCTTAAACCTACCCTGGTAATATTAGCTTATTATCCAGAGTGATTAGGTTTCAAATTTGTGTTCACATTATTATTATTATTACTCTTATTATTATCCTTATCTCCTCTTACCCCGTTTCCAGTCTAGTTGACCTTTTATTTTTATATATAAATGCTCTTAACAAGTATGTAATGTGTGATCAGATTGTTCGAAATGTATTGAGCTAATATATCATCACATAGTTCTGATAATCTTCGTCTTCTTATTACATTATCGAAATACAATCAAACTTATTGAATTCATTGAAGCGGGTTTCGAACCCAAGACTTAATGACTGAAAGTTAAATTCTTTAACTAATAATTCATTACTTTAACATTTTAATTCATTATCTTGTTGATTCGTTAAGAATTCATTTCATATTGAGATTAAAATGAAAAATTCATTATTATTATTATTATTATTATTATTTCCAAGTTTAATTAACTTTTCATAAATCAACTTCATTTTTTAAGTGGTAAATGAACATGTATTAATGATTTATAAGTAGTCTTATTACTACAGTTCATATGTGTAGTGTAGTGTACTGTAGTGTATGAGTGCTGTTGTGTGTTTAGTTTAGTTTACGTGTAAATCTGTCCTAGTTTTTGAAATTCCAATTGTGTTTTTGTTTTCTTTTTTGAAAATAATTCACTCTATATTTTCTTTTCTTTTCTTTTCTTTTTCTCTTAAACACAAATTCATATTTGTTACTTAGTGTTTATATTATGTAAATCTCTTGAATAAGGAGAATTAGTATTTCCTCTCCCTCTCTCTCTGTCTTTTTCTCCTCTCCGTTGTTTTCTCTTTCTTTTTTTCTTTCCTTTTCCCCCCTCTCTCTCACTCCCTCTCAATCTATTACCGAGATGTATACAAAAGTGCATAAATTTAATTACATTTAACATCTCTTTTTATATATTTTCTATCATTCAATATGTACTGATTGTACATGGGTTTCTTTCTTTTTCTTCAATTTCTTTTATTCACGTTTATATTACAGTAAATATACTTTTCTACATTATACTATTTTATGTTAGACAGAATTATTTCCTTCTTTTTTTTAAAGAAAAAACAGACATTACCCACGGTGTGTACGACAAAGCGCTTCATTCATTTTCCACTTGAAATACTTTGTTGTGATCTCTTCTCCCTCTCTCTCTCTCTCTCTTTTCTTTCTGTTTCATTTTAATGAATTTACCAATGCTTCACTTTTTCTATGTTGTTGACTTTATTTTATGAAAATATGGTAAATGGCCTAATGTCCTAGGTTATCAGTATACAGATTGCTAAAGAATTCCTAAGCGAAAATAAGGAATTTCAATAGTTGAGATTATGAACCAATTTAAGCTAGACCACCATGAAAAACTTGGAAGCATTGGATGGCTGTTTCGTCCTATTGTGGGACTCCTCAGCAGTGCGCATCCACGACCCCGCCTCTCGGGGTTCAAACCCAGGACCTATTAGTCTCGCGCCAGGCGCTTAACAAACTAGAAAATAAGAAAGATGCTCAATGTTTTGTTTAGTTTTCAGTAGTTCATTAGTTAAAAAATTAGTCCATGATGTGTAAAATATCCTAAACATTATGTGAAACGAGGATACACAAAAAGAAACATAAATCAATCTATACAAAATCACTTCAACTAAACATTAGTTGTTCAGCTACAACGTAGGACCAGGCACGTATGTGCATCGGTCCAGGTTGCCATACCTCATTAGCACAGCAAGATGAACACCGGATTCATAGGAGTGGTTAGGTCAAAGGTTGCAATAAGGATATAGTATAGGAA